TTTTTTAATCAAGCCAAATAGATAATGACCACACTTATTATTATTATTTTCAAACAATATATAGATAGACACACACAAACAAAATGGTTGAGTGATAGCAGCTAAATACAATAGCATAGGTTTTATAGCTTTAACAAATCAATAACATGTTCTTCATCTTCCCTCTTCTCTTTCTCTATCTCTTGCTCTTCCATCTTCCCTCTTCTATCTCTCTTCCCTCATTTTCAATTTTTTTTTTTTGGCGTGTTTTTTCGAAAGAAGCAATTCGGAACCGTTACGTAACAGTGCGTAACAGGCCGTTACGGCCATTACGGCACCGTTACGACCGCTATAGCAGCCGCTATGGCCGATACACCTGTGAATCTCAATCACACTGCAAAAGCGGCCGTAACGGGTGGCGGCAACCACCACAACCGTTACGTAACGGCGTTACGTAACGGTTGCGGCCGCTTTTTAAAACCTTGAGTTTTGCAATAACGCCCCGTTTGGTTAAGCTAAAAACTGCTGAAAAGAATTGATGATATCTTTTTCAGTTTCTTAATACTAGTGAAAGGGCCGCGGGCAAGGCACGCTAACTAATGGCCAGTTAGTGCCCATTACATTTGTGCAAGGTTTTAAAAAGCGGCCGCAACCGTTACGTAACGGTTGTGGTGGTTGCCGCCACCCGTTACGGCCGCTTTTGCAGTGTGATTGAGATTCACAGGTGTATCGGCCATAGCGGCTGCTATAGCGGTCGTAACGGTGCCGTAATGGCCGTAACGGCCTGTTACGCACTGTTACGTAACGGTTCCGAATTGCTTCTTTCGAAAAAACACGCCAAAAAAAAAATTTTGAAAATGAGGGAAGAGAGATAGAAAGAGAAGAGGGAAGATGGAAGAGCAAGAGATAGAGAAAGAGAAAGAGAAGAGGGAAGATGAAGAACATGTTATTGATTTGTTAAAGCTATAAGACCTATGCTATTGTATTTAGCTGCTATCACTCAACCATTTTGTTTGTGTGTGTCTATCTATATATTGTTTGAAAATAATAATAATAAGTGGTTTTTTAAGCCTTTCATATTTGATAATTAGCTTTTGATAATAAGGTCTAGTTTGCTATTAGATGTTTTTAGCAACTTGCATTCACTAAATTGGATCACAGATGGTCATTCCACAACATCAGTTCTAGATTAAGAAGAAGCAAAACCAATGTTGGATTCTATCATAATAGTGTTTTCTTTAATATTTGAAATAGATTTTGAGTGCATGAATGCAAGTGATGTTTTAGGTTAGGTTTAATGATCACATTGAACTACAAAGTACAGGTACAACAATTCCAATAATCTAATTAATCGGTTAGAACCTTCGTCTAAAAATAGATCTTTTACAACATGTGAAAGGAGTTTTTCCTATCCAATCGAAATTTTTTGACAAGTTCCAACTCTTCAGGGAAAATTTGAGTCTAAAGTTGGGGGATGGCAAGAATATTAATTTCTAGAAGGACAAATGGCTTGATGAGAGACCCTAGTTGCATAAACTTTCAGATAATAAGGATGGAAATGTGGCTAATCTTCTCCGCCCAGGTGATCATAATGGTTCTTCGCAACTTAATTTTAGAAGAGCTTTTTTTGTAGAGGAAGAAGACGACTTTTCAAACCTGTTACCTTAATGTTGTGTTTGGAGCATGAATTTGGGTAAGGATTTGAAACGGAAAAGGGAAAGGTGAGTGAAATGTAACTATATTTCATTCACATTTTATCTACATTTTCGCTTTCCTTTTCAAATCTCTACCTAAATTCATGATCAACACGGCCTAAGTGATAAGTGTTCGGTCTTGAAACAAGATTATGGGTGTGCTCTGTTATGCTATGGGAAACATTGTAGGAATCTTTTAAACATTGGAGTTTTTTTGGTTGAGTGCAGCAAGGATTTGGGAATTTTTTCAGCATCAATTGCTGCTGATGTTTTGTTTGCAATATTTGCTACTAGCGTTATTTGGCTTTGTTTTGGTTCTTGTTTGGTGTTGCTCCCAATTTTGATTGGAATTTGTTCCCTTTTTGTTGCTTTAGCCTTGGCCTTTTGTCTCCACTGACGTATTCATTTGTACACCTTGTACCTTTGTTTGACATCAATATATTTTTTTTTTGCCGATTAAAAAAAAAAATCTAGAAACTGCATAAGCTTCTTTTGCACTTCTAGTATCAGGAGGAAGGACAAGAAATAAATCTCACATTACTAATTTACTTATTAAAAACAAAGAAAAAGAATTATGAAATAAAAATGAAATGAAACAATAAAAGTGAAAATGGTTGTTAGCAACAACACTTCCATTCAAACTGACAAAAGCAACAAAAGCCACCATAAAATGCAAAGAATGTACATTTCAATAAGAGGACTTCAATCTCATTAAATAAAAAACCATGCAAAGTATGCAACGTCAAATGAATTGAGTATCAAATGTTGAATCATTTATCACAGAGAAGGTTCCTGCCCATTTTTGGCTCTTGTACACGAGAATAAATTTGCAAAAGAATGAGATTAATATTGGATTTTAAAGATGATAATTTGAAGAATTCTTTTCAAAATGAATTTTTTTAGTGTACTAGAAAAAAAAATCTCAAACTTGTTCATAATAATAATTATGAATGAAGAATAGTGTATTCCTCTGTTATATGAACACCTAACATGCAAAAGGTAGTAATATTACGCTTCAAGTTCAACTAAACAAACAACAAAGGAAATTAAGAACTGTATTATATATACTGTTAGGAGACTTCACAATTGTTAACAAAAAATACACATTATCTACATACACAAATGAAAAAAAAAAAATATGAAGCAAGTAACAAAATCTACTAAAGGTAATAGAGGAAATTATATAACTTATTACAAACTCACATCACAAAGAATTATGAAACCACTAAATATGAAGCAAACCATTGGCCAAGACTCCAACGACTATGTGTAGTTTTCCTCACATTTCTATTTAACCCTCCATAGTGGCCCAAGGCGCTGAGCCCCAATCAAATTAAAACATGATTCATACTAATTTGTTATAATTCTCTTTTATGAATGAAACTCAAACAAAAGTCATTTCCAAATCTAGGAGAACAAAAGAAAAAAAAAAAAAGCAATGAAGAGAAAAGATTGGACCTTTAACTATTCAAATTGACGTTTAAAAGTGATCTTAAGAAATTGTTGAGGTTTATTGAACTTTTCACACAGATGATATATTTTTCAATTTAATCAAAGGAATAAAATTACTAATAAATTTTTAAAAACAAGTATGGCAACCTTTTGCAAACCCATTTCACAAAAGACACCTAATGAGGCAAAGAAAACCATTGGCCAAAAAATCTTCTCTACTTTCACTGGTATTCATTTCACCCATCAATTGATCACTATGATCCACAGTCTCTATTTTACATTGTGATCTTCTCTCTCTACTCTATCTTTCTCTACAGACCATCACATACCTATATATTTTTCTTCTTTCTCTACTCTTTTTTCTTTCCACACTCTTTACCGGCCATCACTCACCTCTCTATTTTTCTTCTTCTCTTTTCTCTTCCACATCTCTTGAAGAACCTATTACTCACCATGAGGGATCTTCACATCATCAAAAGTCATAACATAATCGCAGAATTTCCTCAATCACCCAATTCAATTTTCCATGTAAAGCCTTGCAATGGACACACTACCAAGCAATAGTCACAAAACTTCGACACACTATGTTCTACAAAACAAATTGCAAAAGCTAAGCACTTCCACACATCACTGGAACAACTACACATCAATGGAACTACTGTAGCTAGTTCTAGTGATATTCAACAAAATACACACACGAAACCAAAAAGAAGGAAAATGATAATGATGATGTGAGAAAGGAAGAGACACATATGAGAGAGGAGAGAGAAAATCTATGACAAAATTAGGAACAAATGAAGAGTTGTGTCAGTTGGGTTACCAAAAGTGTATTTTTGTACATTGAGATTGTAGTTATATACATGCATTTCGAAAAATCCAAACTGCATTTGGAGCGATTCATTTGAAATCAAGAAAAATTCAAACCCCATTTGAAATCAAGAACATTAAGCCCTCTGTTTGAGGGTTTTTAAAGGTGAAAAAGTTTGACCCAATTGAATTTTGCAATCTTTTCACAGCAAAATAGATAAATGAATGAAAAAGCTTGCTGGTATGTATGTGCATAGAAAATACTAAAAAGAGAAGACCACATAAACAACAACTCAGGGAAAATTTATATGATGGTCTCCAAAATCACAATTTCATACTAATAAAAATCAGGGTTTTAGGGATTTCAAGCCATACCTCTTCAATAAGAACTCTTTCGAACCAATAAACTACTACAGAAGACAGAGCTCTCAAAGAACCCTTCAAAATCAAGAGACGAAAGTGAGAGATGATAAAGAGCAAAAGAACGGACAGAGAAATCAGAGAGAGAGAAACCATAGATTCGGAGCAAATAGGAGAAAATTTTAGGTTTTAAGAGCCATACCTGGTCTCTTCAATCCTTGCGACTTCGATCTCCACGAATGGAAACAGGGAAGAGACGACCCGAGAAGAGAGAGGGGTTTTTCGTGAGGAAGTGAAGCAAACAAACAAGGGAGAGAGCTGCGCATACTATGGATCCTTTGATAAACGGCTGTAAGGAATTTGAAGTTAGTTTTCCAAAGAAGAAAAGCTACAAAGCATAAGGCCAAAATCGATTTTTCAACTATTCGAAAAATACTGTCCATATTCGGCTGAAATTACTGTTTACTTTGCATCCGCGTTTTATATATATGGTATAGAAATTGTTATTTTTAAACTTATTTAAATTATTTTTAAATTATAAACGGTAAGAAAAATCTATATAATAAGAGAGAAGGATTTTTTAAAATGTATAAAATATATGAGAGACACATTTTATTTGAATGGCTTAGATGAATCTAGGTGTATATCAATGGTTTAGGTCAATGGGTGGTTCCTGCCTCTAGTGATATTCAACAAAATACACACACGAAACCAAAAAGAAGGAAAATGATAATGATGATGTGAGAAAGGAAGAGACACATATGAGAGAGGAGAGAGAAAATCTATGACAAAATTAGGAACAAATGAAGAGTTGTGTCAGTTGGGTTACCAAAAGTGTATTTTTGTACATTGAGATTGTAGTTATATACATGCATTTCGAAAAATCCAAACTGCATTTGGAGCGATTCATTTGAAATCAAGAAAAATTCAAACCCCATTTGAAATCAAGAACATTAAGCCCTCTGTTTGAGGGTTTTTAAAGGTGAAAAAGTTTGACCCAATTGAATTTTGCAATCTTTTCACAGCAAAATAGATAAATGAATGAAAAAGCTTGCTGGTATGTATGTGCATAGAAAATACTAAAAAGAGAAGACCACATAAACAACAACTCAAGGAAAATTTATATGATGGTCTCCAAAATCACAATTTCATACTAATAAAAATCAGGGTTTTAGGGATTTCAAGCCATACCTCTTCAATGAGAACTCTTTCGAACCAATAAGCTACTACAGAAGACAGAGCTCTCGAAGAACCCTTCAAAATCAAGAGACGAAAGTGAGAGATGATAAAGAGCAAAAGAACGGACAGAGAAATCAGAGAGAGAGAAACCATAGATTCGGAGCAAATAGGAGAAAATTTTAGGTTTTAAGAGCCATACCTGGTCTCTTCAATCCTTGCGACTTCGATCTCCACGAATGGAAACAGGGAAGAGACGACCCGAGAAGAGAGAGGTTTTTCGTGGGGGAGTGAAGCAAACAAACGAGGGAGAGAGACGGCGGGGCGGCGGGGTATACATGTACTATGGATCCTTGATAAACAGCTGTAAGGAATTTGAAGTAGTTTTCCATGAATAGCCTTGCATCCAAAGAAGAAAAGCTATAAAGCATAAGGCCAAAATCGACTTTTCAACTATTCGAAAAATACTGTTCATATTCGGCTGAAATTACTGCTAACTTTGCATCCGCGTTTTATATGTATTGTATAGATATAGAAATTGTTATTTTTAAACTTATTTAAATTATTTTTAAATTATAAAAGGTAAGAAAAATTTATATAATAAGCGAGAATGGTTTTTAAAAATATATAAAATGTATGAGAGATACATTTTATTTTGATGGCTCAGATGAATCTAGGTGTATATCAATGGTTTAGGTCAATGGGTGGTTCCTGCCCAACACTTTCTCCTTAAGACACAAATGATTTGCCTGTGTATCTACCCTCTGTCTCCCCATATCCTCTGTCTACCATCTGTCTTCCCATACCCTCTATCTACCTTCCCTCTCTATCTACCGTCTGTCTCCCCATTTCTACTCTGCACTGACTCTCTCCTCAGTATCTACTTTTCCTCTCTATCTCCCTCTCTGTTTACCGTCTGTTTCCCCATTGATGAATTCCTTGCTCTGTTTCAATCTTCTGGATGTGTTTTTGGGTTTACCCACATTGGAAAACTCTTACAAATTTATTGTTGGTGTGATGTATGTTGTGTGTGCAAATTATCTTATTGTGTTGTGATGTATGTAATGTATGGAAAAGTATTTTTAACTGCTGGGTTCAGTGGGTGTGAAGTCATGACTTTAATGAAAACATGACTTTAATGGGTTTATTGAACTGCTGTATTTTTAACTGCTAGATTTATTGAAGAAAAGTATCTTATTGTGTTGAAAACATGACTTTAACTACTATTGGAAAAGTATTTTGAACCAATTCAGTATTATTATTTAGTGTTGAAAACATGACTTTAATTGCTGGGTTCAAGAGAATTGATTATTGAGAGGGTAACTTTTGTGAAAGTTGGGCCGAGCTATGAGATGGTCATTATGGCCCAAAGTACGAAGGGCTGGGTAAAAAGGTCGTAAAGTTACTCCGGCCCAAGAGAGGTAAAAATATTACTCCGGCCCGAGAGAAATGTAAAGTTACTCCGGTCCGGAAGCGACTTGGAGTTAGACCGGTCTCAGAGTTAGTCCGGTCATGGCGTATTGTGGTTAGAACGGTCAGAACCTTGCTACTCGGTGGCTCGGTCTAAACACACCATGGTTTGTACATAAGAGAACCGAGATAAGGAGGAGTAAAAAGGAAGAACCGAATTAAGGATAGTTCGGCCTAACTCCGTGGCTCAGCATAGCCATGATTACTTCGGTCATGTTGGAGTTCGGCCATGGTAAAAACCATCTCACTTGGTTTAAGCAGTGAGGGGGTGTTAAAAGATAAGCATTATCTTTTAGGAGTATGAATCCTAGGAGGACTCTGCATGGAGGAGTAGAAGTCCTACTAGGATTGTGCCACACGAAACCTATTAAAGCTCACAAACATCACCTTTGGAGAGGTAACACACAATTTTGCTTTCTGAATACACAGAGCTTTGTCTATTTGTCAAGTTTGCTGACTTAGGCATCGGAGAGGTTTCCGGCACACACCCGCCGGCTAGCTCACGTTTGTGTTTTCAGGTGATAAAGAGACGACGTACAGAGGAACGCAGACTTGATCAACAGGATTATACGAGAAGGCTTATTTCTTTCCCGTACAATTGGCGCCGTCTGTGGGAATTGCAGACAGAACAAAACCTCTTGACTAAAGCTTCTCCTCTTTACAAACAATGGCGCACATTGAAGAATTGCCACATTCCGCCATCGACGGGCAAACTCCAGATGGGGGAGCAAGGCGTGAAGGATTACCTTCTATCCCTCCCATGGTAGATTTGGAGCCCCAACGGCATAACCCCAGGAGAGATACTAGGGGAAGACGGACTCACAGCCCCCTTCAATCTCGCTCGCAAAGTCCTGACAGGCAAAGACGGAGGATTGATCCTCAAACTCTGGAAGACCGCGTGAAGGAGCAAGATGAATTAATAAGGAAGATGGCGGCGGACATGGAGGCCTTAAAGCGCCAGATGAAGAGAAAAGAAGTGGCGACAGGAGAGGGGCGCAAAAACAAGACGCCCACTCGCCACTCAGAAAATCGTAGTAGGAATACCACACCCTCGCAAGGAGAGAGCAGAAGCCTCAGGACAGGCGATACTCAATCCAGGTCTTCCAGAACTCACCACTCCAGGTCTGAGAGGACGAGATCTGAAAGATCATACACTGAAGGAAGCACGTATTGGCCCTCACATACGCACCAAACCAGATCTAGACAGACGGAGTTACCCAGATCATCCGGCTTACAAACCGTGCTCGAAGAAAAGGCACGATGCAAGGAGGATGCCAGGTCACGGGATCCACACAGAGTTTCTGCCTTACAGCGGTTGGCTCCTCGGACGCATGGAAACGTCGAGGTTAGAATGCCAATACCGCGCCTTGCTTACGAACCAACGGACAAAGCATTAGCAAGGCTGCAGACTTCGCCATTTGTTCCGGCGATTGAAAACGCGCCCCTACCATCAGGCTTCCTTCAGCCCAAATTCACTACATATGAAGGGAAGACGGATCCTTACTCACACTTGAGCCACTTTCACCAGGTCATGGCTGTATACAGGCGAAACGAGGCCTTAATGTGCATAGGCGACCTAGGCTTGACTTGGTTCGAGAAACTTCCAGAGGGCAGCATAGCCTCTTGGGCGCAATTGGCAGAGGCGTTCGTAACAAGGTTCCGAACAAACACTAAAACCCCGGTGGAGATCGACCAGTTACTCTCCATCGACATGGGCGATAAAGAGACCCTTAGATCCTACAATAGTCGCTACTGGGAGACATTCAATTAGATTGGGGACTGCCCCACCAATCTCGCCATTGCGCAATACAAAAGAGGCCTACCAGTCGGGAATAGACTAAGGGACTCAATCACCATGACACCGCCCCTCACCATGGAAGCCCTGATAGAAAGAGTGCATCAGCACATCAGGGTAGAAGAGGATGGCGCACGTGCCAAAGCAAAATCTGGGGCAACCACAGTACCAGAAAAGAAGACCTCAGCAAAGGTCAACACGGTAGATCGAAGTAACAGAAACGGACGTGGCAGACGAGATAACGGAGAAGACCCGGATAAAAGATGGTTGAGAATCCGCACTGCCATAACCACGGTGTTCAAGAAACCGATATATAGGATTCTGAGCGAAATAAGAGATGAGCCTTTCGTCAAGTGGCCAGCCAAGCTGGGAGAAGCACAGAAAGACTACGACGAAAGATCGCGGTGCACCTTCCATAAAGAAAAGGGGCACCGCACTGAGAATTGCACATCATTGAGACAGCACCTGGAGGAGTTGGTGGCGGCAGGTCACTTAGATAAATACATTGAAGGAGGGACGCAGCCAGCCCCCCAGGACCATAATAACCCCAATGGGATGCCAATCGACGCCCTGCCTCAAGGCATCATCAATGTGATACATGGAGTTTTTGAACCTGAGCATGTATGCGAGCTCAAAGGATCAATCAAAAAGGCTGAGCACTTTAGAGAGGTGCTAAGTGCCCAACCTGCCATCAAGAAGGGGAAAACAGAGGCAACAAACGTCATGTCTTTTTCGGATAAAGACTTGGAACGAATATACTGCCCTCACAATGATGCCCTGGTCGTCACTCTCCGAGTCAAGGATTTTGACGTCAAGTGGATTCTGATTGACCAGGGTAGTTCATGTGAAATCATATACTACGAAACATTTAAACAACTGAAGCTACAAGACAAAGACTTGGCGCCTGCCGTGTCTCCCCTAATCGGATTCAACTCCATGC